GTAGCCCAGATTGTGAGCTCTAGACTCTTTTCGCCTTGTTTATACTGCATGTTCATCCCAACCCATGCACCAACTCCAAACGCTAGCGCGAGGATAAGTGATGCCATTCCTATCCCGTTGGCGAAACTCAGGCATTCTGCAATTCGAGCTGCCCAGATAGATTTGATACTTGGAGTGGACGGTGAGACAGGATGGGGACTTGAGTGACCAGTTGATCCTGGAGTGGTAGAGTTTGGAAGGTTGCCGCCCACTAGCGATGGTGTCGGTATAGGCTGGGTCATAACGGGTGCTGGCAAGTTGGGAGAAATGTGGGTTTGAGATTGTAGTGAGTGGTGTGAAGTTAAAGTAGATGTTCCGGGTTGGGCAGCAAAAGTTAAAGGAATGGCGGGAGTGGCATGACGAATCTTGCTCATTTGATACGAATAATCTGATTGTAACCTCGTCAAACCTTCAGGAATGACTACGTCTCGTTCTCTACTAGTTTGATTTATAATTTCCGTCTGTCAAAGAATGGTGTTATGAGAGAACCTGCGAGCTGGGTCAAGTTGGAGAGGTGAAAGTAGTCGGCAGGCCGCATAAAGGGTTTATAACTAGCCTAAACGGAAATTGCGCGTTAGTATCCGTAAGTTATCCGGCGTAACGCCAAGATGTGATTGCCAGCAATCAAGAAAACCTACTGGACCTGTCTAACTGCGACCCCATCCCGCATTATGAGCTAACTATAGCAAATGAGGGCACGTCTCGATGATAATCCACTATAGAGATGTCGTGAAGGATACCCCGTGCTGGCAGATTGATAATAACCGTCCTGGTTCTCCGGATTTAGTCAGGGTTAGTTTCAGGAGTCCAATAAATATACATACCAGCAAAACATTGAGCCCTCGATCCCCTATGGAACATCTCGTTCACAAATAGAACTGTAGTAGAGAGATCGAAGCCGAGGATGAATGTGCTATAATCTTTGAGATGGACCTTGGGTATTAAAATCTACAGGGACATGATTCTTCCCAGCTTTTTTACTCATGATTTACGGTCCATATGTTTCATATCTGACTGTGCTTGTTTTGTCGTCGTCGAAATCCTGGTGGCTATGTGAACTGGTCAACTAACCTCACGCTCGACCTCGCAGCTCGAGTTCGACTAGATGAGTCCTTAACTAGATCTCGTAAGCAAGTAATTATACGATTATATGCTTTATTATCATTGAAAACCGTCTCAAGGGCGTTCGCTGCTGCGCGTCGTATGAAAAT